TACATTTTTTCTAAATAAATAGTAAATAATAATTAAATTAAATTTTTTATATAGCTGAATAAAGTATCTTATAACTTTATGATTTTACTGATAAGTTAATTTCTGAGTAAACATTTAGATTTTTTTGTGAATAATAATTGTGTTTTAAAACTAGGACTAAATATAAAAAAATATTCTTTAAATGTATAATGTCTAAAGTTTTGTAATATGTACATTTTCAGTAAAATTCAATAAGGCCTTCTTTAGCTAGGAATAATTTTGGTCTAGTCCTAAAGACTTTATTTGAATTAATGTTTCTGTTTGGTGGTTTAGTGTGGTTTACTATTATTTTATTGTATCCAGTCCAATGTTATCTGGACAGGGTTTTTAATTTAATAATCCGGTTCGGTTCGGTCTGAACAATTTTTTAATTTAACAGTCTGTTTCTATTCAGTTTGGACATTTTTTTTCAGTTTTTCAGAACGGTTCGGTTGAAAATACGGACTACGCAGAGCTCTAGTTCATTTCTTATACATTATAAGGATACCAGTTTTAATTTTTTAAATGACATCATACATATTTAACCAGCTTGTTTACTAGATAATATTAATTTATATTTTCTAATAAGAAAAATTACTAGTCGATAACAACTTATGTACCAAAATATGTGTTATGTATTAATGTCAATCATTTGCTAATGCCGATATTATACTTTGTTGACGTACACAGCTGCTGCATTTTACATTTTAATGGCAAGGCTTAATGTTTATTGTTTATTAATCCAGCTCAAATAATTTATCATTGCGTTCATAATAAATAGGTTCTTCTTTTATACACATTTGGTTCTTATTACCAAGAATAATTCGAGCAATTTACTAAATACATACTCTATTAGTTGGAAAAACGCCTACTTTAAAACCCATGCTTAATGACAGATAACTGCAACAAATAAAAGCAAAATTGTAAATTGCTACGACTCAAAAGTACCTATATCAGGAGGCCAATATTAAACTACTGTTAATTGGACCATTTGTTTGATGGTTGAATAAGACGTTTTAACTCAATCTATTCTATGAACTTGCCATTATTAAATCGAGTATACCTTTTGTCCCACACAAGCAGTTGTGGCGCAATCTAATTTCTAAAAATAAATTGGATTTTCTTTCAGAATGAATAAAACTAAATACATATATATGTATAATAAAAATAAGTATCCAACATGTGGCTTATATTATTTAAAAATATAATTATGGGGAAATTAAACATTTTAATTAGACTGGGCACCTTATTTTATATTCATTATATCAATAATGTAAAGGAAATAATAGATGAAAAGGTTTAACTATATTAGTATTAAAATCATCCAACTTCAATACTCGGAAAATTTATGAGTATTGTTTCATTGAAAATATACCAGATTTGAAATTTGTGACATAATAAAACTATGGTATGTTAAAGGCAACTATAGGTAATTATAATTAAATAACATTGAATTTTCGTTCAAGTTTTACAAAATATATTTATAACTATGTTTTATTATGTCAGAATATTTCTATAAATATTTGGTACAGATTGATTGAAAATTAGACAAAACATAGCATAAATACAAACAAATATAATAAATTATTATTATAACTGTAAATGTTAATTAAGTTTAATTTCTATACTATATTATAATATTAATAACAAGTACTAAAAAAACGTTTCTGGTTTATAAATGATGTAGAAAATGCTTAATGATTATTGCACAAATAGCAATTCTAAAGATTCAACTACAGAAACCCATTAGTTTAAATGTGTTTAACGGTATTAGAGGTAGTATGAAGAACCCAATGTAAGAAATGTTTTTTACCATGATAACATTACTAAAGTTTTATTACGGACTTATTAAAAAAATATTTTCACTATAAATGTAGAAACAACTTTGTGCTCGAAATGAACAAATTATATAGACAAAAGCATTCTTTCTAGAGTAAATAATTTATAATAGCTTTTTGACTCAGCAAACGACAAATTCAAAGAGACGAAGTTACAGTCAAATACTTAATAATTCAGTTTCCAACTATTATTTATATTTGTTTCCGTGTAGTTTTGCTTTTACAGACTATATATGGTCTAAGGTTACTGGTTTAAGGTTTGCTTTTATATATAGCAACTGTGAGCTAATAAATCCGAAATTGTTAATATTAATGTATTTTTTATTTTACATTAAGTATCGTCCCATCAAAATTAGCTAACACTCTATATTAAAAAACTAGAGTTTAGGTACTATATCTTTATGATTAACTAATCGAAGTAAATATTTTATTTACAACAATATTTTTCGTAGTTTATTTATTTAGAAGTATAGCAAAGTCAGTGGCGCGTGAAGAAATTTTATATGAAGTGTTCCTACAATTAGGATACCATTCTCTCAGTAAATACTCTGCTGAGCGAGATGAAGATTTTTTTTTATTAAAAATTTCTTACAGTAGTTCAAACATGATTATATGTAAGTGTACATTATATAATACAAGTATGTAGTTATTACAAAAAAAAATGCACCTTAAATATTTTATTAGAGATCATGTAGTGTAAAACATATTTTATCTAAAAAGAAACCAGTGTAGTCGGGCCCTAGTAGTAGACTCCAGTATAGATTGATATCCGACAGAGATTTTCATTACTATCATAAAACTCTTTGATACGGATTGCTTAGGGTCTGTTTGTTTACGTATGTGATAAATATTTGGTAATAATTCAGTTTTTCTTAAAAAAGTTATGGTAATTTTAAGTTGCAATAAAAAAAAAACAATATCTGCCGTTATTGACAATACTGATTTAATGAGATATTTTACTTAATGAAAGAAATTTAGGATAATTTTTTGAATTTTTGAGAACAATGTCTTCAACTGGTTATTACTCTGGTTATTTTTACGTATAGCTCAAAAAAATCGGTTCGGTAAGAACTAAGAAATTTTATGAACCGAAAATTAGAAAAACAAATTAAAAGGCATCCTAATAAAATCAATATATTCTCAGCTTTGTATCGAACCTAAAATTTAGTTTTTGAACAGCTACATATTAATATTTTACTCGTTAAACAAATTATATTATTTGATTCATTGTAATTTGTTGAACTTTAGAATAAAACTAACAATAATAATATATATTAAAAAAAATTGCTCTTTGTTAAAATCAATTATGGATCACCTTAATAATTTAAAATACAGATTTTAATTTTTTCATTGTTATAATTAAAACAGTATTTATTTTATAAAAATGATATTTTTAAGAATTTATTTAATTGATTGAACACTGATTAAAATAAAATATTTTACGATCTAATATACTGCATTTGTGTTGCTCCTTTTATTACTTTATACTATCAAAAACTTTTCTTTTCAGTACATCATTTAAACTTTATTAAGACTAGGCATTTAATTTTACTTCATAGAATTTATTACTCATGAACTAGTTCGATGACAACATAGTAAGTTTAAATTATTCTAGACTTAGGCGTTATAAATCAAGCTCAAGCTTACGTTTCCAAAAAAGCCAAGTCACGTTTTCTAAAACGGGAAATGCTTAATAATTTACTTATTATAACTAAAGATTTTATATTCTGCTAAAAGATTATACTCAAGTCAAAATTCTAAAAAATATTTTAAAACTCCACATAAATTAGTAGCTTAATATTTTATTTAATTAAGTTAAAAAAAAGAGATGAATGTAAAATAGTCTTAGTTTTTATTAAGATGATTTGGATATTATTCAATGTAGTCCTCTATTCGGCTCGCTAAGATTCACATAAGTTCTATATATATATACATAACATATTATACAAGGTAGATCCTATCTCACTGACCACACATATAACTTATGATCTACAAAATATTTTATACTTTTTTTTTTTAATAAATTTTTACGCTATATTTAAAATGTGCTTTATGTTATTTTTCACAATTACAAAAAATAATTATATTATTAACATTTTTTTAGGATTTGAAGTAATTTTATAGATAAGTTTCAAAGAAAAAATTTTGATACCAAAAATTCTTATTTTTTTACTCAGTAGTTTACGTTTCTACAGCTTTTTAAAATTTGTTAAATTTTTATTTTTTTTTACGATTTTTTTATGGTATCAAATGTTAGTTCACGTATGTAAATGATGGAAGTAAACATTATCTTTTTACTGGTGACAGTAACGATTTTTTTCCATGAAAAATAACACTGCAGTGTCGTGCTAGATATTGTGAGACCAATACAAAAATGTTATACATATAAGGCCTTTTTAAAGCGCAGAACCCTATGAATGTTCATTGTTAACTTTGCCTTTCTGTCGGCTCTGTGTATATTAAATATAATGGTAAAACAATAACTTATCCGATATTTTATTACCGAAAAATTTTAAATTTACGTTAACATTTTACATGTCGGTTTAAATCTCGATGTTCGATTAATATCCTAATGTCATATAATATTACAAAAATGATAATATAATAAAATTAAATTGTAATATATATTATTTATCTAAACTAAGTATTGTAATGTGGCTTATAAGAAACATACAATATAAAAATTGTCTAGAGTATAAATTGTTGATTTACAAACATGTATTTCTATATGACCAAAATTTATAATAGAATTTTTTATTTATCATATTAATTAGGTATTTAGTTTTTTTTTTTACAATATAACTCGTTAATATAAGGTACATAAAAACATTGTAAAAATCATTGACAACAAACTAGTGAAACTTTACGTCTCAACAACAATAATGGTGATGGTGTAGCAGTTGTTGTAAAATATCTGCTGACATAAAGCTGTCGCTTTAATAAATGGTACTTTGTCATGCTTTGAGTTTTCCACTCTTAAATATCTTCTTTATTGTTCAGTTCAAGAAGAGACATTTTGTAATTCAAAGAACTTCTATCGCATATCACAAAAACCCAAATATATGAAATTTACTTACAATTAAGATGAATACAAATTTAATGATTATACTACTTGATAATAAATGATGTAATTGTATTTTTCAGCCTGTTTTCTGACTTGAGAACGATGTCAGGCACAGCTTTGATGTACATGTTGGCTAATATGTTCTTGACTCAACTTTTTTACGTAGTTGGTGTTGGTGGTGTTCAGGTAATTTTACTGAAGTATAAAAAAATATATAAGATAATTATTTGTGTTAAGTTAAATTCATTGAAATTTAACAATAAAATTGAAATTTTGTTGTTGTTTAATAAAGTACAAATATTTTGTTGTATAAATTAACACTTCTTAAATTAATATCCAAAATTATATAAGTTTGCCTTTAATTTAATAATATTAAATAATACTGAATTATACATCATTATTTATATTATAAAGAATGCAACGGCAATTTGCGGAAAGGTTCCATATGGTCTGGACTCCCTATAAACATAAAATCATAGTAATAAAGGTGCTAGAGGATTGTATCTCCCCACTAATCTACTTTCTAAAAATTATCTGGAAAAATATAAAATTTTTAAATACTAAAGAGTATCTTTCATCTCTATATTAACAAAATTACGTGTTATCTTTGACTACACAAATGTAAGAGATTTATTTCCTAATATATTAGAGAATAAATTGCCAGCAATCTTGATTTGTTCAACGTATGGGACCAACAATAAGATAAAAAAATAAACGTTCCTCTACGGGCCATTCTATGAAAAACGCCAAGTAAACCTTTTAAAAATAGTTATACCAACGAGAATTTTATTTTACCAATTTTTAAAATTATGTTTTAGCCTAAACAGTATCCCTTATGTAAGCTTATTCGGTAACTTAGGTACTTCATACTTGTCTTACAGATATCATCGAAACAAAGTACTATGAAGTTGTACTACGAGCAACATATTAAATACACTAGTGTGAAAGTTAATAAGGTACCATATGATTTTTTCGATAAAAAAATATAAAAACTTCATATTATTTATTGAAATAACAAAAAAAAATGTTCATGTAATACTTTTATTTAAAATAAGTAATTGTGGTGTTGAGTTCTGGGTGGTAATTAATATAATCATTTTTTACGTTAGGTCTACCTATAAATGTGTATTATAAAAAGATTAAAAATATTAGAAAAACTCAGCAGCATTATAGTTTTAACACAACTAAAAATTGTTCACTTTTGGATGAAAAATGAACGGTATTATAGGTTAGTTTTTTTATTATGTATTATTATTAAGTTTGTGTCATTAACAAATAAATAGTATTAAAAAACTACTGCGATAATAATAAAGTAATAATAAATTTTATTTTTATTTTAAGTTTATATTCATACACATAGTATTATTGTATCTCAGCAATTATCTTTTAATACTATTATTTTTTTCTATTAATTAATTTTAACAAAGCATTTTAATTCGATTATCCTTAATAATGACTAGAAGATTTATTATAATAATATTAATGATAATAATTAACATGTACTCCGTTCAAAACTTTGGATTTCTCTACGTTTATTTCAGTGGTATAAAAGGGTTAGTAAAATAATTGGCTGTCATGGACCAAATATTCTAATGACATTATTTCCTTCGTGCCCGTAGTGTTATATAATTACAATAAAATTGAAATTATTCCTTGTCACTAAGATTATTTTTAATACAAATAAATAATTTATGAAAATTCATATTTTTACTCTAAAATGAAATACTATAAATTACTTTAGAAATATTTGAGTTAACATATTTTTACATGCAGTTTAGTACAAAATCTTGACATTATTGATGTATCTGATATCATTAAAGACATTTGATTAAATTTTAACGCACCAAATAAATATAACTTATGCCACCCCTTCCATAAAAAATTTAACTTCTCCATCTTAAAAATATCAAAAATAAATGTAAACACATTATTTCACTGTACGATTAGGAAGTGTAATATTTGAAGAACAAATAAAGAACTTATCAAATCTATTAATTTTTATTGATTCATGCATCACCATATCAGAATGTGTGCTCAGAATTTTTATTAATATTTTAATACCCCTTTCGAATTATATCATTAACTCTACTCTATATTTAAACTCTTAAATATTTTCAAGGTGGGATGATTAAATCTTATTATCCGCTGAGCATACATATTGTTCCAAGAAATCATATGCAGTGTAAGATTAAAATTTGTTATTTCTTTGTTAACTTAATCAATATGCGTATTGATGAATAGGCTAGTATAAGAATAAAAATATAAATAAAATATGAACTTGAGTAATGCTGACCCTTTTTAGATATTTTTTAACACTCGCACCGAATTGATGTTATTAGGTTTTAATTAACTTAGCTTCTAAAATCAACATTTAGATTAAATTTTATGAAAGACTCCACAACAAATATATATAAAATATAATTCTTATAAATTTAAAAATCAATTACTGAGGATAAAAATATTTTTTATGTGGTTTACTTTCTATCATCATAGCATAATTTTTGAATACACCAGCTCTTATTTAAATATCTATAAATAATCAAATTTGATTTTTCCTCTTAAAAAAATAAAAACAATATATTTTAATTAATGATGTATCTATTATACTAGAATTACCATCACGAAATAGCAATACTGCTATTACAGTTATGTAGACCAATTTTAATGATTTAATGATTATAAACAAAACACAATTAAAGCTATGCTACGAAAAAAATACGGTTTTCGGAAATTCTTTTAATAAAACTCTTGACAGGAGAATTAAGCAAAGATTTTTTAAATCATATAACCCTTTCTTCACTAAACTTATCGTTTTGTTACTACAAAAACGTGTACTTTACTTTAGTTTTTAATACACAGGTATTTACAATAAAACGCACTTTAGATTTTGGCAATTGCCTTATGCGTTAATCAAGACTTGGCTGAAAATACAAATCAATTTTTGCAATTATGAAAATTTATCTATTTTTGAAAAATAGATGGTTAACAACAAAATTTCATCTTAATTAAGTTATATTATTATAGAATCTGTTATTTCTCACTGTCTCCTCAGGGTATGTATTAGTTAAATAAATTTGTAAAGCACAACAAAATATAAATAAAATTTATACATATACATATATATATATATTTAACAAATAAATGTCCAACACACCATATAAACAGTTGTTATTATAGTTAATTATATAAAAGTATATACATTACAATAAATTGTATTGTAAATAACATTTCTTCTCAGTAAAGACATTTTTATTGATACACGATTTAAGTGACAATATTAACGTAAATACAATTTTTGCAACATAATTTTTTTACTAACATTAGGCTTATATGACCGACATAATATGTATATCCTAAATCAGCATGAAATATTACAGAATACGCTATTATACTTGACTATAAATCTGAAGGGGCATCATCATAGTCATTATGTCTACACGTGTAATTTTATGTTTCCATGGGGAATATATTAAAGATAATAAGAAATTTTCTAGATGGAAGGCAATATTTTTTCAGAATTTAGACCACTGATTAAATTGTTAAATTTGTCGTATTATAAGAATAAACAATTAAATAAAATTGAAAATATTTGTGTAAAAATTAAAAATTTAAATTTAAAGTTAATTTTAGGTCATAAAATGCCATTTTCATAAAAATTATGATGTACTAAATACAAAATATTCAGATGCATCATTGAGGGTAGGCAACTTAGACACTTGTCTACTATTTAGCCAATCTTCATATGGCTTCAATGTATTTTAATCCTCTCTACTTACGAAGTAATGATTATCTTGTATAAAATGTATATTATATAAAATTGTTCTTTTGTCAAAAAAATGTTTATAGAATACATTTATTCTGTGCATTTTAATTAAAACATATAATTTAATTAACATATACAATTGAACAAGCGTCTTAAAATTATGTTTAGAGAAAGTTAAGACATAAGACAAGAAAAAAATTACATAAAAAGTAATTAGTTTTGAATAATATATTAAAAAATAATACATTGAATATACAGAATAAGTCACAAAAAAAATTACAAATCCAATAACTTTTGATGTAGTAAATATTTCACTTTACTTTTGATTTTTAATAATTGATATACGTTTGGTCTGTAGTTTTAACAGAATACATTTTTTTTTTAACTTATGTAGAAGAAAAATAGATTTTTTACAAATTTACGAAACTGCTAGTTTGTATTGGTGGTAAGGAATAGTAGTAGCAATGATTTTAGCACTGTTATTTCCCAATAGAGGAAGATTGCTGCTAATCAAATAAATAATAATAGAAACTGCTACTTTTATGTATCAATATTATTATTTTTCTGAACATACTCAAAAACTGTTATAAATCGCTATTTCAGCTAAATTACTATCACAGTTTAGCAGATTTAACACTTTTTACTTCAAATAATCTGTGCCGTTATTATCAACTACAAATGACAAACACTAACAAAATATTTGTTATGCTTGTAACATACTATTAATCCATCATATCTATTATGTCATGTATTTTCCTAGAATATTTTAGGGTAAATATCAGTAATAACATATGTCAATGTTATAAAGTATTTGAGTAAAAGTAATTAAATACTTTGAAGTAGTGAATACTAATTGAAATATTTTTATTTTGGAAGTATTTTATCGGTATTTTAAATACTTTTTTTTGATACTCAACACTTTTAAGTACCAATGTAAATAATATTTGAATAAATATTCCTTAAATGTTAAATACGTTTGCGTTTCTGTTTGTTTTTGGAAATATTATATTGTCATACCTCAAAATTTCAATGATTACAATATTTATAAATTTATCATTCATTAACTTTTACGTGAATTAATATCATGTTTTTCTCCTGACAACAGTGAATCAATGACAACTATTTTACCTACTACGAAAACTGACTAGTTTTTTTGATATATGCTTTGCTAAATAATTATTTAAATATTATTCTATATTTTTATAATTAAATACAGGGTGGCCCACCACTCACTGACAACTTAAATAACTTTTAATCCAGTTAATATTTTTAGCTGATTTTTTTTTTAAATATTAGTTAGACGTTAGGTCTATAGCTATATCTCAATAATTAATTTTTTTACATTTTATTAAAAATATTAATTATTTTTAAATTTTAAATAAAATGTAAAAANTTTCAATTTTTGCTCATAGAATGCAAATAAAAATAACAGTTTTGTTATAAATATCTTCAAACTTAATTATTAACATAAAAAGGCATTAAACTTTTATTTGAAATTAAATATTGGTTATAAATATGATATAACGAATATTCTAAATTTACATTTAAACGTTTTATATTTTTTGTTGAAAATATGTGCATTGTAATTCCAATCAAAGTTTAATATTTATTAAATGGTTTAAAATGAAAAATGCTGTTATGTAACATATGTTACATATCATCGCAAACATATTATAATGTTGTCTATTTTAATATTATTATAATTTATTAATATTTGCGATAGCTTAATAATTAATGTTAATAAATATCTTTATTCTTTGTTAAAATGCCAATAATAAGGTAAAGCTTCGTGATTTATTTAACCGAACTAATCGCAAAATGTTATAAACTTAATTATAATTAAATAAGTTATCATTCGTTAATATTCTGCTAAATATAACAGAATGAATATTTCAAAATAGTTACTATTATAATAAATCGATAAAAGTATTTTAAATATTTTGTATTCGTTTTTATGAATAAATTTATCTTGAAATATTTAAATTTTAAAATTTATAAAAAAAAAAATTAGGTCTTTATGTTTGCATAATAAATTTTGTGAAATACTATTAATAAGTACAAGTTGACTTGTACCGATCAATAATGTAATTCACTGTGATATTAAAATAATATTTTTCTAATATTTTATATTTTCTATTATCTTCACATTTTCTCTGGAGGGATTCAGTCCTCCGGAGAAATGTCAGGAAAAAACACTGCTCACTAATTTTTTTCTCCGCGTTTGAAATAATACTTTTTTTTTCAGGAAGATAACCTTTGCTTGTGCTTAGCTTTTGGGATTCACTATCTTCGTTTAGCCATCATCAGTTGGCTGTGTGTAATGACGTATGATATGTTAATCACTTTCCGAAACAATGTAAATCTTAATCCGCGACCAGAGCCAGTGAACGTGCTTATTTCCAGATTCGTACAATACAGTCTGTTTGCTTGGGGCATGCCATCCTTATCTGTAATAATAGCTAGTATTATGAGAGTTATGGCTAGTCATCAAGTAGTAGACAACCTAAATCCATATAACTGTTGGTGAGTAATAAATAGTGAATCATAATACTGGTATTACATAAATATATCTTAATGAAGCTATTTTTTATTATTCATAAAAATTCTCCAAAATTTCTTCTTCAAGTTCAGTATTTTTCAAAAAGATTCAAGTTTTTTAAATATTTTAAAATAATGAGTTCATAAATTAAAAAATTTAGGTATAATTCATTAGTTTTGATAAATAATTTAATATTAACGAGCCAATCCTTAAAATGCAAAATAGGATATCTAATTTAACTTTATTCATTAAAATTATAATAAATACTTAAACAAAAGTAAAAAGCACGTCAAATAAACCAAGTATAAAAACAATTAAAAATTTATCCAATAAATCCTACAAAAAACATTTATTAAATAGCAATTTTGAAATGTTAAATTTTAATATCCTTTTTAATTAATTATCTTATTCTATACATTCATTCAATTATTTATCAACAGTCATAATCAATGATAAAATAATTTATATTCTATAAAACTCGCAAAACACTTAATTTATAATAAATTTGTTATATAAACACCAGTATTGATTATATAACAACATTTTAAGTTAATATGGTATAAATAGTTGGTTGATATTACATTCTGGTATATATTTACTTAATTTTTAAACATGTTCATTTATCAGTCTTAAGAATCAGCATTACTGATTTCCAAGAAATCTCTAGAAATTATGCTTCCTGCCTAATTAACTTCTAGTATATTTAGATTTTTTATGTATCATAAAATATTAACAGGGAAAATATTAAATTTAACAGGGAAACTTTTTTAACAAGTTTATATTTCAAAGTTAGTATAAAAACGTAAAACAAAAATCTATTACGCTCATATCATATATATACATTGATATTTATGATTATCTAACAAATTTACATTACTATCATAAATCTCTTAGATGCGAATCCGTTGATTTTTATTTGATTTAAACAAAAAAATAAGTAATTGAAAAAGATAAGAGAAAATATCTCTCTGGTATTGAGATTACTTTTATTAGTATTAATATTACTTTTTCTAGTAGAAAAAGTTCTTGTAAATTTAGTTTGTGAAAAACATTTAAATCGGCCAGTTTTAACGATACTAATATTTTTTTATTTTTTTTTTTTTGAGATATCCTTTATAAAAAAATTTTAAGATAATTTTTCAATTTTTGTAGGCATTGTCTTTGTTTACATACAAAACAGGTTCTTTTGAAGTTTTTTTTGTAATATCGTTCTAGATATCTCTCAGATAACAAGGAGAATTTTTATTAACAGAAAAAGAAACATAATAAAATCCAATTTAAAAATAAAATATTTTTAGCTATTATTATGAATAATTATTTTTATGGATCGAAGTTAAAAATGAAATTTTAGTGCACAGCTTAAAAATACAATTTTCTTTAGAAAAATAAAATAAAATTTTGCTTAAAAAATGTGATATAATATATTTAAATTTGTAAATAATTATAAATATATATATATATATATATATGTTTTAGGTTCTTTGAAAAAACTATATACAATGTAACATTTGTAGGACCAGCGCTATGTTGTTTCCTCATTATAATGGTAACATTGATCCGTAGTTGGCTTACTATCAGAGCCACTGTTGGCTTACAAGTAAATAAAAAATCACGATTAAAGATGCATAAAAAACGTATGTTGCAATTACATTTATATGTCAAAATTGCCACTTTGCTATTTGCTATCAATGTATTTGGAAGTGCGGCAAGGAATAAATCACCCGACACTGATTCAATCGCTTGGATAGCTTACAACGTTGGACATTCGTTGCAAGGTATTCTAGTCGCTTTGGCTGTCACATGCAACTGTCAAGTGCTCAAAATATACACTAAGTCATTTGCTAAAAAACGGTGGCGTCGATGGACAAGAAATGGCAGTGAAGTTGCTTTATTCGACAAACGAGATAACGATATTAGTGACACTACTTATCTACAAAATCTAACTTGGGAACCGGTCCCATTACCCGTTTAAAATAAATTCAAAGTAAATGTTTTGAGATTTTTACATAAAATGACGAATTGTGGATAGGAAATGATTGGTACAGCCTTTCAAAAATGGATTTTACGATAAATGTGAAAAACTATGTGTTTAAAGGAACAAAATTATTATAGATCTTTATTAATACTAATATAAGCACTGGTGGAATAAAGGGGTGGGGGGTTTAGATCCCTTAAAATAAATAAAGTTATATGTATTGTTATATAAAAACATACTTTAAGGCGGGGGAAAATATATCATTAGCCCCCAATTTTTTATCTACCTCCGCCTATGAAACAAATAATAATTGATTTAGTAATGTAACAATCACATTATTAGTACAAAAACTTGTACTTGAAATAAATATGTATCTAGGTATTTGTAAAAATTAATTCTATGAAAAGTTTTGTACTTGTTTCTATTGTATATATAAGTTATAAAAAAAGTTCTTTATTTTGAAAAATAACTAACTTCAACTTACTAAATTTAATACCTTTAAGTCGATAATAAAAAGTTTGATATATTTTTATATCCAATAAATGTATTATCGATTAGTTCCTTATAGTTTTTTAAGGTAGATTAAAAATATATCTAATATATAAACTCTCTATTATATTTATATTTAGTTTAATTGAGGTTAATTTTAAGACACATATTAAAATCCCTTATCCTTTATATGGGTACCAACATAATATTTTTAATTTTAATAGACATATTTAAATTATTCATATAAAAGAAAACAATCTAATTGAAAGATTTTAAAAAAAAAAAGATAACTCAATTTTTCAAAAAAAATTAGGAAGCTGTAAAAGTAAGATATTTATATCCTTACTTGCCAATAAATTAAAAAAACGCTAATTTTTAAAATTATTTATTGTAAATTTTTTTTTTTCAATAGCTATGTTGTTCGTTTTAACCTTAATTTAAAACCTTCGAAATATGATTTTGAAAAAAATGAAGTTATCTTCTTTTTGCATAGAGATCTTATTAGTTCTTAATAACAGTATAACTGAAGTTGACGTTTTTAAATATAGACTGGAGGGGAGGTGGGGCTTACATTATTATCAGAACTAGAAAACATTTTTAAAACATTATAACATTTTATAACGCCTAAAAACGATAAACGTTAAAATATCAACAAGATTTTCTCTTTAATACATAAAACAAAATAAATGAAATAAAAAATAATCATATACAAAACGGTTTACAATTAAAAACATTATAAAAAACTTACAAAATGTTAAATGAGTTAATATATTTGTAAAACGTTCTAATATGATTAATTAGTTTTTATATTTTTAAAAAAATATCAGTATTAAAAATACTTCTATTAAGGTGAAAGGGGAAATATTTCTTAGCGCACATGGAAATAAATGAATTGCTAAATAAAATTAATGTGTCATTTTCTTAGAATATATACTATTATTAAGAACTATGTTGTCATGGCCTGGAAATTAATTTGAAAAATAAGTTAAAAATAAACTGGAATATTATATTGTATTTATACGAACTGGCTAGTAAGTTTATTTCTATAGTATGAATTATACAACATTGATTGTTGTAACAGTTAAAGCATTATTACTTGACAATTAAATAAGTTATAGAATTATACAGATGAACAGAGAGATATTTTACGAGTATACTTAATTAATGACTTATACAGTGTATTAAAGAAAAGATTAAATAGCTGATATTCTGTATTGAGAGTAATAAAAAGATAAAACTCGAAAATATTAAACTATTTTTTAAATAAAAAAAAGCAAAAATCAGTAATTTTGTAAAAGGGTTAAACAAAAAAAATTAAAAACGTATTCATAATGTTGACACAAAATAAAATTTAAATGTTTAAAATAACAAAAACTATAAACATATCAGTAAAAAAATGTTTAATTTACATTTAATTTAAAACCATATCATGATATAAAAAAAAAAATATATTTAAATATTTTAAAAATTATTATAATTTTTAAATATAATGTTTTTATATTATATAAAAACGAAAAGAAAATTTTTACTTACAAGCCCTTATTTATCATTATGTATTTCTAATAATCATTTCAACTACAAAATGATCTCGAGAAACCTTTTATAATTTTTTTTTTAATCTTCTTATATAACCTAACATTTTTATTTAAATTAAATTATATTTTTTTATTGAATAATTTTTTTATGATTATAAGTATTTTTATCTTTAAGTAATGATGTATTAATTATTAATAAAAAATAATATTTAAATAATCCATATCATTTTAATATGTATTAAGTAAATAAAATAAATAAATAAGTTATCGTTACTTTAGGTAGAATAGGTAGATTTAGAATTTATCAAATGTATTGTTAATAACAATTTTGTGTAATAATAATTATTACAAATATAAGTAGTATATTAATTATTTGGTGAACTTTTTAAAATACTAGGTTAGATTTGGATTTAGAAATAATATATGAATATTTATTGTATAAACTGAATTTGTTGAATTACATATTAAAACTGTTTAACCATTATTACTCATATTGTTCAATTTTTTTTTCGAGTACATGTCATTTATAAATCAGTATATAATAAAAATTGATCACTTGTGGCTAATTAATTAAGTAAAATTAAAACTATATTAAAAATATTATTAATTTAAAAAACTAAAAATTATTAAAAATATTAAACTCAAAGCCACAAAAAAATTAATGAAAAGTTGCGGATACGTATTTCGGAAACAATGTTACCATTATCAACGCTAAACACATACTCTTATGTATGTACTCTCCGCGACTTTTCATTAATTTTTTTGTGGCTTTGAGTTTAATGTTTTTAATATTTTTTAGTTTTTTAAATTAATAATATTTTTAATATAGTTTTAATTTTACTTATAAATCAGTAACATGAAATATTTATTCAGTAACTGTTTAACGTTGATAATGGTAACATTGTTTCCAAAATATGTATCCGCGACTTTTTAGTAATTTTTTGTGGCTTTTGAGTTTAATATTTTTAGTTTTTAAATTAATAATATTTTTAATATAGTTTTAATTTTATTTAATTAATAATCCATAAGTAATCAATTTTTATTATATAAATATTTATTCTTTCATCTTTTATGAAAGATAACAAAAGAATCATTGAGTATCCAAAAATTGTTTATCGAAACTTTTGAAAACACTGCAATGAATCTTAAATGTCAATTATTCAATTTTTATATCTTATAATAATCTTTTATCTTACACAAATTAGTTTTTATTTTTATAAATTACACTTATCATTTAAGAGTAAGAGTCAATATGAGTCCAAATATTTATTTTTTCGAATCAAAACATCTCTCCGTAGATTAGATTCTGGTGAACTCTGATTGCTTATGGAGAAATAATCGAAACTTACATCAAATTTAAGCAGACGAAATTATCACCATATAGATGACTTGATAAACCAATTAAAAATTTATAAGAATTAAAAAAATAAAATTTATATATTTTTTAAATCTTGCTTAGGTAATATCAGCTTTAATTTGATGTACAGATGATTCCCTGCAACCGATCAGTTCTGTGAATCAAAAAACCAATGTTTTTGATTTTTAATTTGAATAGTTTTTAGTTGGACACTCTTTTGATTTTTTATAAGATGGGTAGACTTTGGTTGATCTATGTAATTCAATTTTTAGAGATTTAATAGCGTATTCAATAGAATATTTTAACTAAAACAAACTAGATAACAAAAAATTTAATATTTAATATTACCCAGTCAGAATTCCTTAATAATTTATACTGTGTTATGGCTTTGTTCAATTGATAAATTATTCTATCACTTTTATTTACTTTTATTCTTCACAAAAGAAAAAAATGAACACATAAATATAAAAAGATACATTAATAACTTTATTACACAATTTAACGTGTGTAACTTTAATATTTGGTTACATCACTATCACAATAGTTTATTTAATAAATATTTGTATAATTTGGAAAAGTAGAACACAGTGAAATTATCTATGACTGTATCACAAATAATTTCCAATATCAATATATATTTATACATATATCACATTTATTTCCATACTTTAATGATACCATCACATGATCCAGAAACTAAAAAACATTGAGATGCCATACACGATGTAATATCCAATATTGAGCCAACATGTCCTGGAGCAGGTTGATCAGTAGCACATGGAGGCTCTTCATCTCCTGACATTACAGTACTATTTGATTTAGTACAAACTTCTTGTACAACATTTGTACCATCAACTAATCTACACCTAAAAATAAAAATAATATAAAAGCAATTTTCAAAATTCAGTGCGATTTAAATTAATTATAATATAAAAATTACTCATAACAGTATAGTGAATGACCCATAACATCACTAGCAGCTGGTATAGCAATATATGTGTCACTAGGTGATGTTAAATTCCATTTTCTAATTCTTTGATCTGTACCACCAGTCAAAAGTTCTGGGCCATGATCAGTATTAATTGAATATAAGGCACATACACTGTGATTGTTGGTCTATAAAATAAAATTGTTTACCTGTATTTTGATACAATTAGTTTTTTTGCTCATTATAAAAACTATTACATGTATAAAGAGTATAAAATTATAATAATAAAAGTAATTGGATTTGAAATGACACAAATTAAATTCTTTGGTTTTTTGAAAAAAAAAAAAAAAGAATTGAAAATGGGGATATTTGAAATTATTTAATCAATATAAAATTACTTGGCTATTTGAAAGAGGAGGAGCATTGCTAGCCCATAGAGTTTGTTGTTTGGAACCACTTTCTAAGTTCCACACAGTAACTTCATTGTTATCTTGCATGGCTGAAATAATCCAAGATGGTTCTGTGGGATGTTTTATAAGCCGCCTGACTCGTACAGCTAATTAGCATAATCAATTATATAATTATAAAATTTATTTAACATCATTATACATCATACTATCAATAAGCAAAAAATAAATTTTTAATATATTTTTTTAATAACATTAAATTAAATAAAAATATTAACTACTCTTAAATCTAAACAACACATCAAATTATTTAACAAAAATTTAAAAAAGATAAATCAATACATTAATTTTTAAATTTTGAATTTGAAAATGGTGTCAACAATAAAAGTTTTTTTATAAAAAACAAATTATTTTTATTTCATTAATTTAAACAATTACAATTTTATTTATTATAAAGCCTTTTTTTTTACATTCTCTTTCCAAATAAATATTGTGTAAGATTTATTATTTAAAAAAATACCTTTAGAATGAGCTATAGTAGCAATTGGTAATCTGAAACGTAAATCCCAACAAGTATGATAGCCACTACTGGTACCCAAAGTCAAACAACTTTGCCTTGTATCAAGACACATAGCCGTTATGATTCCTAAAAATCATAAAAAAAACTTTAAACTAAAACTTTTTATTAAAATTAAATGACATTTTAAAATTGCTAGAATTGATTTTCAAATAATTTTTACCTTGTTTAATATCATTATTTACTTTCCAAACTAATTTAGGAGCTCGAAGATCCCACCCTATAAGAGAGCCATATACAGTTGTATAAACAAGAACCATTTGAGATCCAGAGTCTAAGTATGCAATATCAACAGCACATCCATCTTCTTGCAAATCTAATTGCTTAGTTTGCATCACTGGCATTTTATTACTATTAGCCTCTAAACTATAACAAATTGGGAATTTTTTCTTCTTAGAAAAATGTTCAAATCATCAATTATTGAATCAAAATTTTATTTACTTTAGAACAACTACTGAGCCAGAATGACTAACAGTTGCTAATGATTGATTATTCCTACAGGTTGTCATTCCATATAATGCTCCATTTTGATGGTTATAAACTTGCTTTGACCGATTAGCAATATTTTTTCCTTCCATTTTTACACAATCCCAAACACGCACATAACTATCTGATGAACAACTAGCAAATAAGGATGTGTTTGGAATTGATACTAACCTAATATATTTATATAAAGAAAATATAAATCCATTTATTTAGATTAATTAATACAAAATGATTGTATAATAAACAATAATTTTATTTATGGTTACCTATTTACTGCACCTTTGTGTTCATGTAAATGTGCAACTAACTGTGATCGAAGTCTCCAACCTAGAGGTGGAAGTCTTGGTTTCCAAACTTCTTGTTCAGCCCATTCGTGACGTCGTATAGTCATTTCATAACAATCTTGGCGGTGTGAAATTAATTTACCAAGTTGTAATCTACAAGGTGCATAACGATCTACAAACATAGATATATTATTGTTAAGTTAACATAATTCAAATTTAATTACAAAACACTAACAATGAATGTATGACATATCATTAGGCCCTTCTATGCTATGAGATGGTGATGGCTGAACATCAAATGTGTATGAACTACCAACTGGAGATCTAATAAAATTAGAAAAATTAAACATTATCCAAATATAAATAAAAAATACAATATTAATACAAATTTTTATATGAATGTGTTGGTTTTGATGAATCTGGACTACCAAACATACATCTCCATTCTTCATTCATATTAGCTACAGACTGATCATCAGTAATTTTACGGCGATTAGAATTTGACAGTGGTTCTTGTAATTTTGAATGTTGAGAAGGGACTAATGAAACTGAATGACAGTTTTCATTTGATTTAGAATTCCCAATTTTTATCTAATGAATTAAATATATACACAGTATTATAAAATTTATAAGTTAATTTTAACACATTTTGAAAGACTCTTTACTTTTCCCTTAGTTCCATATTTATTGTCAAATGCTAGTTGTTTGTGGACTTTGAGAATGTGTTTGGATAATGCTATTAACTGATCTTCAACTACTTCAGACATTCCTTCCGACTCTAATTTTCTAATAAGCTGATAAAATTATTTTGTTAATTGTTTACAATTAAAAAATAAGAAACAATGTTTTAACTTACATTCCTGAGAGCACCATTTTGATGCATACATTGCGTAACACTTGGTAAAGGTATATGACCAGTATTAGCTATTGTCCTAGCTTTTTTACGTTCTCCTAGGGTTTCTATAAATGTCTCCAATATTGAACATTTAACAACAGTATCATAAATATTTCTTGATAAAGGTTCTTTAAGAGTATTTAAAACTAATTCTTCTCTATCAACTAAGATTATAGAATTTTTTAAGTAGGGTTTCATAACAGGTAATATTTTACATTGAACATCAACATCATCCAATATTCTTGCTGTAGCACTAAAACAACCTACTATCGCCTAAAATAGAAAAATAAATTAAGTGGCTATTAATATTTTATGTCCAGTCTTAAAATTTTGCTTGTAACAAAGAGGATGGGAAACCTATAATGCCCAACATAATAGAATTTGAAACAGTATTAACATGTTTTAGACTGAGCTATATAAACCATCTGTGTATAAGTTTTGATGAATACAATTTTTTAATATTTTCATTTATACCTTTTAATTGTTAAAAAAGATATTATCCTGTTATCAATACAAGTTCTGCCATTGTTAAATTTGCTTTTCACTTAGTCTAATTATAATTACAATATCAAAAACACAGCACAGGGGGATCGCGGCACAGTGGTGACGTGGCATAGTTGGATCAAGTATAATGATATCTGACAGTGATTAAAACACTATTAAAAAAAAACGCTTTGATGAAAATCTTTAGATAGTGTTTAATTTTAAAAAATTGGTGGATTATTCCAAAAGTTACATGATCTGCTATTTTCTTATTAATATCCTGAATGAAAAAGGGATTATTAAAAAATATTATTTCTCATAAAAAAATTGTGTTGATCCATACACTTTTCAATAAGTTATAGCATTATAAAGTTAAAAATGTAAAAAATAAAATCAAGAATTTTAACACGAAAATAGAATTTGGTAGCCATTTTCACCACGAAGACAAGTCCAGAGGTCAAATTTTTTTTTTCATAATAAAGTATATTACATTACCTTTAATTTAAGATATATATAAAAGTGTCAGACCTTCCGGAACACTTTCAAAAGTTAAGTTGAAAAAGTTGTCATTTTAAATCTCCCCTGTGGGCAGGTAAAGGGTTAAATTTATGAAAAAAATACACTAAATGATAAGTAAAGACATCAAGTATCTATATAAAAAAAAATTATATTGATATGTTCATTTTTGAAAAAGTTACGGCAGTTTTTAGTAAAAAAATTTCGAAAATTAGCGATTTTTAAATTAGTAATTTTTTTGGAGGTTTCTCCCATTTATGGGGAACGAGGGAAATTTTTTCAATTTTTGAGGCTAATGTCTTCGACTAGATACGATTTGTGATCTTTTTAAGTATTGTTGAAAGAAATCAGTTCTTTGGGAGCTGAGAAAGAGTGGTAACAGACACACAAAAAAAAAAAAAACACATCATGGTAAAATTTATACCTTCTCAGCTTCACATTGAAGTTAAAATATTATTGATAACAAAAAAATTTTTTTTATAGTCTAACATCGATTTGTACAGTTTGGTGTTGGTTACACAGTTCTATCTTTAAAACTAACTTTAAAAAAAATCAGTAAGAAAATTAAATAAAAAAATGTTTGTTCCTTTCTGGTTTCCTAATTTATTATGAATAGCACTAGTGCAATTACAGAAGCTGTACCCCCCAAGTTAAAAAATCTACACTTTTGTAAAAATTCAGATTATTTCATTAGATTATAGATTCAGTTTATTTTTTGTTATATAAATATATTTAAGGTAGGGGAAAATTAAATTAAACTTCCCTTCATTCAAGCACCATCCATAAATAATTATATTTATATTTTTTTGTTTTTTATTTAAACCACATATATAGCATACAAAGACAAAAATTCTTTATAAAAATTTAAATTATTTTCATTTTATTATCTAATTAAATAAAAAAATCAATGTTTTAAACTGTTAAATAAACTAGTCAAATTAAAAAGATAATTAGAAATATAATTAACTAGTTAAGTTGAAAATTAAAAGAAAAATTAACTTTTTAACTAGTAAATGTTCCCTCTTGGTGTACACTAAAATTATTTTTGAAAAATAAAAAAAGTATTATGTACCTGTCTTATCCATAAATTAGGATGTATAAGAAAACATGATATATCATTGATCAACTGGTAAAGAGAAGTTTTTTGTAATAAACGTTTTTCAATTAATAATGTCATAGCATTAATTGCTTTTTTAGCAACAAATTCTTCACTGTCAGTAAAACCCTATAAAACATAAAATGCAATATTTTATAAATGTATACATATATATATATATAACTTGAAAAAATATTACTTGTTGTAAAAGTGGACTCAATATAGGTGAACATTGAGAACCAACAAAAGATGCGACATTTACAAAGTTGTCAAAAAATGATGCTCGTAAATTTTTGTCTGTTTTGTCATTTAAAAATGTTACCATGTGAGACAAAATAACATCATTAGCTAAAAAATATTTTATTAGAATAAATACTGTATAAGATTACAATTATTTAACCTTAATTAATTGAATACCTCTTTGAGTTCCAAAAAATTCACAAAGTTCAACTATGTTACTATTAAGTAAGGTCTGTTTGACAATATTATGGCTGTCAGTGAGAAGAGCTGATACTGACTGTTGTACCATTTCGTGCAATGTGGCAAGTTCTGTTTCAAATGCACTAGTAGTTGGTTCATTATCATTTATTTTTTGACAGCATTTTAAAAACCTTAGGCCAGTTTGAGCTAACTGCGAAATAATTTGTGCAAAAGTTGTCCTAACTATTACAGCATCATCATGTGCAACCTAATATAATATAGTAAAATATATTAATAATTAACTATACAAATTATTATCAGGCGGCCTTATTGATAGGAACGGGATTTTTATGATTTAGTTTGGTTGATTTTTTGAAGGTATATGACTTCTGCTTTATTTAGAGAATGTGGTTGTTGCTAAAATTCTTTAGTGTTCATCTAAGAACTAATAACTAGCGCAGTTTAACCTCAAATAAAAGTTGTGAATGAGGTGTTTACTACACCAGCTCCTATTATACCCATTAAGTATTATAAATAGAACTAGGAATTATATGTATTTGTAAATTTCGTTTGAACCACTTTGAAGGGTCGCAAGTTTGTTCAATTTTTATAGGATTATACAGTAACATAGAAATATTTTGGGGGATAAATACCTCTAGTCCTCCCAAAATTTCAACCTTGGTAACAACATATTACTAATTTTTCAAGTTTATTAATTAAAGTTAGTATAGGTTGATGGTATGTTTAGAATAACTTAACAAAATTTCCAGCTTTATTTATAAATGAAACAATAAGCATTCTATAATCTTTAAGTAAAATTATACTTATCCACTCACATTTACTAATCCAGGAAAAATGTACTCAGGAAAAGTATTAGCATCACTCGGTTTTAGATTTGCAACTGTTGATAGCATATTATTCAGTGCATGTAAAGCAGATTTACGTACACCAGGGCATACATCTTGTATCATGTGAAACTAATTAATTTATAATAATAGATCATTTTATGTATATAAAATAATATTAGAAATTTTATGTATGTATTTAAAAAAAAACTTACTATGTATGGAACAATCCGATCTAAAACTGTTTCAGCAGAGCAATACTTAGATAACTCAAGTAAAACATCTAAAGCTTGTACTTTTGTTGTTGACAAATGTAATCCCCTTAAATGAAAAAAGTAATAAAAATCAAAATTTAAATTACTATCTGCTATGACACTTATTCATATGATAAAGATTTATTTGAATTGCTTTTTCTATTTGAATTTACCACAAAACAAATATTTAAAATTTAATTATTTAATTATTTAATTAAAAAAACTACTTTTTAATTTAGAGGTATCCATAAAAAAATATAAACTAAAAATTTTAAATTTCCAAAACAGTATATTTATTAATATACCTCAGTATTAATTAATTTTATGCAACAAAATGTTGGCATATATACTTATATTTTACATAAACTACAGTACAAACTGAATTTATAAAAATTACTTAACAATTAAATTTAGAAAATTTTACATATTAACAAGTTTTCTTATTTACTGAACACTCTGTACCCTTTATATATAAAGTTTGCTTTAAAAATTTAATCGACTAAAAAATTACCTTATACAGGATGTAACAAGTTGAACTATCAAAACAAGACCATCTGTACACTCAGGTGAATCATTAGATGGGAGTAACATATTAATAATTCCTTTAATATCACTTTTTAATCTAAAAATTAATGTAAAAGCAGACTTTTTGATAAGATGATATATTATTTAAATATTAAAAAATATACTAAAATAAAGGAAAGTACTTACCTATCAATTTTTTCATCAGGAGAAATAATAGGATCAGTTGCAGAAAACATTTGTAAGTAAGGTTGTAGAAAAGAGTAAAAATAATCAGGAAATATTTTATTTTTCTCTTCATCTAAGTATAATTCAGCAGAACAACGGTTAGAAGGATTCAGTTGTATCATTGATTTGATCAGTTCCTATCAAACAATTTATTAATTGACTTAATTATCAATAAGGAAGACAATAAACCAGAGGTTAAAACAATTACCAGAAAACCCTTAAAAAGTTGTCAAATTTTGTAAATTGAAACCTTTAAATTCTTAAGTTGGTTTATATTACATATTAATATAAAATCTTAAAATACTCAAAATACAATTATCTATAACAAGTTTTCTAATATTTGTTTCAACCCTTAAAATTAATTAAGAATTACCTTAATTCCCTGATCATCAATAGTATCAATATAAGTACTAGGGTCATATTCACCATTTCTATATGCTAGCAACTGTGATAGGTCAAAAGGTGGATGGCCATCTGTAAACATTTCTGCAATGGCACACCTTTAAGAAAATGAGTTTACTTAAATTTCATATTTATCTATTACTTCTAAAAAAAAATTCCTAATTATATTTTTATAGTTTTAAGATAATATAAAATGTGATTCCTGATATAAAATTATACTATGAATATTTAATGGAAACAAAAATGGTATCAAGTTTAACTATCATTATAGTGACATAAGCATTTAAACTTTTCAACCAAAAACATATTTTACTTAGGTATATAGATACCAAAGTTAATTTATGTTATGCTGGGCTCTTTAGGTTTTCCTGTCCTTTAAGAACTCATAAGTTTAACTTTACATACCCTGCTGAAAATATATCCATAGCTGGAGTGAGTTCTCCTTTTTTTATATCTTCAGATGGTAGCAGTTGATTGTTTACTTCTGTAGATGATTTTATAAATCTATTTACAAAAAATGAATTAGATTATTAATTAGAGTATTATGTTTACTAATTACCTTTCTGGTGCTATATAACAAAGTCGTCTACGAGATGTATCAAAAAAAAAAGAGTAATCAGCTGGATTGTCATCTGGTAAATATGTAGGTTTATAGGAAGCAATATCTGTTAATAACACCCAATTCCATGATGTAATCATAATATTTTCAAGTTTAATATCACCATGACAGACCTAAAATAAATTACTAGGGTAAATATTAATTTTTATATACTTAATTTATTTTAATAAGATACATACACCTAAAGTATGACATTGCCTTAGAGCAAATAAGATTTGAAATGCGATGAATTTTTTCTCTGTCAAAGTTAAAAAGGGTCTTGTACTTATACGATCATACAAACTATACTTAACATATTCTCGCATCAAAAATATTGCTTTATCTGTCATCTATCAACAGATTATTAAAATAAATAACTTTGATTTAAATACTTTAAATATTTTTGATTATTTCTTACAATAACTTTTTGAAAACACAAACAATTAACTGCAGATTGCAATTTTGATTTTATTTCCTCAACACGTACTCTATGCTTAATTAATGGTAACATTGGATCATGGATAGCAAATACTTTTACAACAATCATACCTTCTTGGGATTTTGCTCTTGCTACCTTAAAAAATCTTGTACTTCCCAAACTGAAATAAGATTTACCATGATAGGAGATTAAAAATTTTGTTCAAATAATTAGTAATACTTACCTGGCATCAAATTGTAATTGTGTATGATCAGTTAAATAGTGTTCAACTGGGAATATCTCCGAGGGAGCAATCCCAACTAGTTGATTTCCCATAGTTTAATATTAACGTTTTATTGAATAATATTTAAAATTTGACATTGGATTACTTAGATTAAAATAAATATAAATAAATAACATAAAATTTAATTAAAATTTGAGAAGCATCGTTCAAAAATAATATTATCATTTTTAGCGCAATCACACACATACATTGTTAACAGCTTTTTAGTAACAAGACACATCTTTATCAATAATATGTATATTATCATAAACATAAACAGTGAACAAAAACCACCAATTATGTAAGTTTTCAGCAAGATTCTTAGTTAATGAGTGTATTTTCTTAAATCACTAAAAATGAACTTCATTGTACATGTGCGTTTCCCTCCTAAGAGTAAAATATGAACTGTTAAATATTTTAAATTAAAATTTTTGACATATAATATATATTGAGAAATAAAAGTTATTGTTTTAAATTTGATTTGAATTATTTAGATCGTGATTGTTTGTTTAATAATAAAAATTATTAAATATTAATTTATATGTTTGAGTTTCAATGTTTTATAATTGTAATATTTTTATACAAGATTTTAGTTTCTAGTTTTAGTTATTAGTGAAGTGGACATAATGCACTTAGACATGTTGTGCACACCTCATACCAAATTGTCTTGATTCAGTTTACACACCTAAGTGTTATTACGTTATACCTATCATTGTATAAATAGTGGATTATCAAATCGCCCTCTATGGATGCCCAAAGAGTCCTGTCTTTCTGGCGAAGTTAAGTACCTCTATGGGTCTTAGGTTTTTGATATCTTCTTTTTCGGAAAAAGGTTTAATCAAGTATTTTGATCTTAGTGTACATAAAGCTTCACATTGGCACATTATATGGAATGACTCTTCCTCTTTTACTTTACAATTTCTGTATATGTTGATTCTAATACTCAAATTGTATTAGTAGAACGGTCAAAGTGCTCTTGGGTAGCGCTTTGAACAATTGCTCAAAATGGAATAATATTCCATTTTCTATGTGTAGTGATTTCTACTTTGTAGGGAATGTTATTCTTAGAACTGGTTTGATATGGTCTAAGGGGTATTTCAAAATGCTCTAGTCTATCTCTTTTAGTATTTTACCATGTTCTACTATGTTGCTATCCATAATCTAGATACCTAAGTTGTAGAATCTTAGTGCTGTGGCTTTGGTATGAGCTTTAACCTCTAGATGTAAAAGGTAATCCGATAAGTGCCTTTAATGCAACCTTTAGTATAGTTCTTAATGCTCCAGCGATAGCTATGGCAGTCATTCTCTGTATGTGACTGAGTTTTTTCCTGGTTATAATTAGTGCTGTTCTTATCCACCTGACCAGGGAATTGTACAAGACCATAAGTTTAATCACTTAAGTGTACAGCCAATACATAACTCTTGGTTTAAACCCCATGTTTTTTCTAGAGCTCTGCTGCAAGTCCACAGTGTGGTCATTGCTTTTTTGACTTAACATTATGATTTTCATTTTAGCTTACTATCTAAGATAATACCTAAGTATTTTACTTCTGATTCTAAGCTAAACTGATTTATATGACTTAGATACAGATAATACTAGATATTATCTATAGTTGGCAAATCCTTATGATAATAGATAAAAAAATATATGTTTTATAATCTTTGTATGTATTTGATTTCTCTATCCTTTTTTAGCTAATTGGGTTATAAAATACATTTTTTTTAAATTAAATTATGTTGATAGTGCTAACTCAGAGTTCTAATATATTTATTTTTTAAAGTTTTACAAAATTATAGAATATTTGCAATACATCAAATATTTTGTAGAAGTATTATTTATATTATCAAATAGTTGTTGATAGTTTTTCACGAAGAAGACTTTTATTTATTATTTTGGTTTATGTCTATATTTAAGTATCAAATTTTATTTTAAAACCATATTATTGTTTAGCAATAAAAAAAAATATTTTTTTAATATTTGCTACTCAGTTATAAAAGAGATCTGGTATGATTGATGGTACATTTTTTAAGAGAAACATATCCAAAATGTTTTCCCTAAGATAATAATAATAATAAAATATATATATATATATAAATAATATATAACACTAAGTAACATTTTCATTGCTTAAATTTAGCATTTTATTATTTAAAATTTGTATTTGACTCATTCCTAGTATCATATATAATTTAATAATCAATTAAAATAAGCTTATAAAAGTAATCAATTCATTTAACCTTACATCTAATTTACTGTAAAAAAAAAAGGAATTAATGTGTATAGGAACAGTATTATTTTATGCACAATGTATTTAAGCTAATTGTATTAATGTGTACATCTCTTATGGTTAGCTAAAATACTCAATAGTATTAAAGTCATTAAGTTTTGTAATAAATTCTATTGGTTTCCATAAGCCATTTAACTTTTCTTCTGTAAAAGGATCATCTGTTTGCACTTTTAAATTGTCAATATGCAAGTTCAACCTAAACAAAGCATATAATACAATCAATATCTTTTAAGCTGATAATTGAAGCTAAAAATGTAGAGAAATTAAATACATTTCTTTTTAATGAAGTTAGTTAGAAAATTTAATTCATATCTAATCTGAAAGCTTTGGCTAGTTAATAAAAATTAAATTAAAAAAAATACTTAAATATATGAGTGTAGAAATGTTCTATGAGGAGTAATGTCTTTTCGGTTGCTGTACGTAAAGTCTCCAACAATTGTATGACCAATTTCTGAACAATGAACACGAATTTGATGGCGACGCCCAGTTACTAACTGTAAAATAACTTTAGTAGCTGGATATGACATAAAAATACCTCTTTCTATTACTACTAATTTTGTATGTGCAAAGCGTGGTTTTATACACGTTAAATTTTCAGCTGTACACATTTTATGATTTCCAGAAATTTCTTTGGAACAGTAGCCTAAAATAATTTATCATTATTATATTTTATTAAAAATTAGATAAATGACATATATAATAATTAAAGTAAAAATTAATGATGGCTAACCAATACTTTTAGTTAATTCTAAATTATTTACAGAAACGTGACCCCTAAGAAGAGCTAAATAAAACTTTTTAGAAGTTCTTTTTTGAAATCTGTTTGATGCAGCAGCACATGCCTTTTTATTTAATGCAATACATATAACGCCACTGGTTACAAAATCTAGACGGTGTACAAAGTAAAAACTATGTTCTAGGTTATTATTGACCAAGTGTGGATACTTAGCACTTAATAATAAATCTAGAGATGGTTTCTGAAATACAAAATTTGTAACAATTGAAAAAATACTTCAATCAAACTATATTTAAGTGAATGCTAACTTCTTTAAAATGATTATTCACGTATACATCTTCAGGTTTGTTTACAATTAAATAGTCACTAGATTCATAAAGAACTTCAATTTCAATATGACTAGAACTCAAAAAGCCAATTTTATTCAAAAATAATTCTACACACCAAAAAATACTTCTCAGTATCATAATAGACAAATTAATACAATTATTTACTAACGTAGTATAACGTGATATTCTATTATAGAACCTTTTATGTTAAATGGGTAATTAATATATTATTCATCGAAATAATACATTTATATATCACAAAATAAAAAAAAAAATATATAAATATAAATACATATTTAATCTACTAATTAAAAAGACTGATCCAGTCGTGACTATTAGAAGATAATAGAAATACGACATATCTTCTAAAAACGTGGAATCGGTATTTACTTATCAATTACCTTATCATCATCATAGAAACAGATATGAAAAACGTAGAATAATGTATAATAATAAGTCTTTTATTAATGGATTGAATAACGAAAAAAATAATAATCTAATTGTTTAACTCAATTTAAATGATCGCAAGCGAATTATAAATATATATTTATAACATGAATAAATTAACAGAATGGCTTGTTGGCTTAAACATATTATCTATATTGTGGTTAAGTCTGCTCTTTAATAGTTTTAACTTAAAATTAGTTAACGACTATTACTTAGTTATTCAGTTTTTACCAATTGTTTTTTTAGGGATATTTGGTGTAAGTAACCGTTTTATTACAAAATGCAATTTTTTTTATTAATTTTTTATTTTTAGGTTAGTTCTTTGATAATTATATTATATAGAGTTGCTATATTTAATGATTGCAAATCTGCTGCGATGGATTTACAAGCGGTAAGATATGTATTTCAATCATAGATTTATTAGTTAATTATGTAATTTACCTAGAAAAATATAAAATTTGATAATTCAGTAGCTTAATGGTTATCTTTTTACAAAGAAATATGGTAATACATACTAGACTACTTTAAAATGGTCAAGAGACGTGAAAACTGAAGTTTATTTCTTGTATTAATAATTTCTTAACCTTTTAAAATGTTGTATACCCATATAGGTATGCAACAAAAGTTTATATGAAGACAATTATAAACAGTTGGTGTTATTAAATTTTCATTATGCGACACTTCGTAAGATTGTGTCTTAACTTTTAAGGGTCAAGAATAAAACTTTAATTGAGATTTTAACAAAGAAAAATTAACCAAACTATTATTCTTGCTAAAAGATCTAATGGCATTTATGTTATAGTAATTTTTTTGGAAAATTTTACACATACAAATAATAATTGAATTGAAAAAAATTGTTTAATTTATTTATTTTTCTGTACCAATAAATACTGTCATAAATACTTTATGAAAAACTAATGGTAAAGAAGTCTAAAGAAGAATGTTATTTACAAATGTAAAACTATCTAAATAAACGTTCTATATAAGAGTATTGTTGATGTTATTAAATTAGGGAAAAGTTAAAAACCTCTTATTATGCATCTGTTATTAGTTATTATATGATGTAAACTATAATAAAAAAAATTATCTTTACTTTTACTTAAAAATAGTTTTACAGGCAAATTACTAAATAAATTCAAGTTTGCATTTTATTTTCATGAATATACAGATATAACTCACCATAGTCAAAAATAAACTGAGATGCTTTTAATTTTATTTATTTTTTCAGGAAATAAAAGAAGCAAAATCAGCTCTTCAACAAAAAGGATTCAAGTTTGATTAATATCTATTAAATTTATATTTACTTGTAACAATAGAACAACATCATTCCATATTTGTAATAAATGTTTTGTAACATATCTTAAAGTAGAAAATGTTTAATCTCTGAAATAAAACAAGTATTTTTTTAACAAGTTAATAATTCTAGAATTATTATTATTAGAAATATATAGTGAGTAACAAACAAAAATCCAGTTGGCTATCAATGATACATTTTTTATACAATATGATATTTATAATAAAAATAGGTTAATTAAATTAAGTAACTTAAATACATAGTAATAACAATAAATCAACTATTTAAGGTTTACATATTCAATATATGAGCAAAAATAGATCTATTTTAGATAAATAATCATATTTTTATTATATATACATAAAAATAATAAATTTTGATATATATATATATATATATATATATATATATGTCAATTAAAAAGGTTGATATAAAATCTATGAAAATTTTCCTATATAATAAAATGATTGTCTTATCGGTCTCATAATCATATTATAGTATGACTTATTATCCCATAATATTATTATAATATAAAAGCATTATCACTCCTCACTATTAAAATACACAATCATGTATGTATCAAAATTTATGTATTTATTTTGTTTCCTCTAATTTCAATAAATTAATTTCTTTACATTAAATATATAACTAGGTATGATTTAACCATATAAAGATAAAAAATATTTTCAAATACAAGAAAAATATGTGTATATAGGTTTAGATACATTTAATTTAACAAAAATTATTTATTTTGTAAAATGTATTACTAAATTAATCATTAAGAAAAAAAAAATTAAAATATTCAAGTAATATATAAAAATACTGCAATTAAAAATATTAATTTGGCAATGTCTATCCTTTATCAAATAAGGTTAAATACCTAAAATTTTTAAACTTAAAATATCTTTAACTCTAATTAGTCTAAAACAAATTTTTAAACACTAGGAATTAGATAATAAAATATTTAGTAATAACAAATTATTACTTTATAAATTGTCAGTTTAAAAGTATAAAAACAGTTAATAATTATAAAAAAATAATTAATAACATAAAAATAAATAGTTATTTCATAGTATATGAAATACTTATTGAGTTATTTTCAGTCATGTCAGTAATAATAGTTAAAAATTATTACTAATTTAAAATGTCTAATTAAAATACTTAAAAATAATATCTAATACATCATATTAATAATACATATAAAAATACAAACTTGAAAAATTAATATTAATTATACCTAGCATCATTAACAGTAGCTGGTACACTAACTTCTAAGCCATCTAATTTATCTTCTAATATGATTTGACAACCTAATCTAGATCTGAAATAAATTAAACTTTGTTCAATTAATTATTTAATTGTTAAATTATTAGATTGATTTTATTACGTATCAGTTAAATTGAAGGCTAAATCTAACATGTCTAATTCTTCATCTGATGGTTTTTCAGGTAATGCATCATAATCACTTTGTTTTAATATAACATGGCAAGTAGAACATGTTAATGTTCCTTCACATGCTCCTGTAAAATTATTAAATGAATATAATTGATACATTATTATAATGGTGAAATTGTAAAAATTGTACTGAGATAATAGTGAACATTTTTCTATTTTCATAAAAAAAATAGAGTTTACACCGATTGAAATGATAACTAATTAAAAATTTTATATTACCATATCCATCAAAGTCTAAATTGTTGTTTACAATCACATCTAGTAGAGAATCTCCCTTTTTACCCTCAGCCGTTATTCTGTCACCATTAGCTTTACAAAAGGTCACCTTTATTCTGAAAGTAAATAGTGCATTTAATTTTTAAAAAATCACAGTTTACAAATGCTATTATAAAACATCTAAGTAAAAAAAGTAATTACGTATTTTTACACTCTGAAGAACTCATGTACCTAACAATATGTTTAGTCACAAAATAATTTTTAGTTAATGTTTTTATCAGTTTAAATGACATATTTTAAAAGTAGAATGAATAGAATTTAAAAAACCTAGTTTCTAAAAGAAATAAAAGTCGCTGCACCTTGCGGTTTTGTCATTGAAAAATTTGTTAAGTGATAGTTATTTTTGATAACGTTGATAAGACGTTTTCTATGATTTAGAAGATACCGCATTAGTTATCGTTGTTACTTTTATTTCACCAACATTCAAATTGACTATAGGCCAATATACCGAATTATACCACAAATTATAAAAAAAAAATTTATATACATATAATTATATATTAAATGATTGCACAAATGAAAGAATATGACTATCCGGAGTTGTTTTTAATGGAAAACATTATGGCTTATTTAAAAGTGGTCTGAATTTTTCCATTGATATTGTCTCCGGAGACGATTTTGAGATTTAATTTCGGGGAAGATATTAGGGAAGGTCAACTCCCCCTCCCATTAAAAAAAATGATAACATTTAAATAAATAAATTCCTCAAACATTTACTAATGGAAGTTAGTGATGTGAAAAGTTGGAGTCCTACTTAAATAGCTAGCAATTAAATATAAGCGTAGGTATATTATATCATAATAAACAAAGAGGTATTTTAAATTATGTTAAGAATATATCAACTTGTTTTAATAATGAATAAATATTAAATACTCTAGAAACTTTTAACTATTAAACACTTAAGAAAAACTCTCACAGTCACCAAAATAACCAACTAAAAACTAATTAACAAACCAACTTATGATTTACTTGGTAATATTACAGAATCGATTCAGTAAAACGAGTTATTTTAAATCCGTAAGTAAAATTGATGTTTACATTTTCAAATTTTTGGTTTGTATTTCAAAGGTTTTAGCTTCGATGCGAAGCTGAGAAGGTATTGGTTTTACTAAGATGTGTTTTTTTTTGTGTCTGTTACCACTTTTTCTCAGCTCTCACCGAACCGATTTCTTTCAATGATACGTCAAAAGATCACAAATCGTATCTAGTCGAAGACATTACCCTCAAAAATTGAAAAAAATTACAAATTTAAAAATGGCTAATTTTCGAAATTTTTTTAATTTTTTTTACTAAAAACTGCCGTAACTTTTTTAAAAATAAACATATCAATATAATTCTTTATTTTATAGATGAATGATGTCATTACCTATCATTTGGTATATTTTTTTTATAAATCTGACTTTTTTCCTGCCCACAGTGGGGAATTTAAAATGACAACTTTTTCACAAAAAATTAACTTTTTCAGCTTAAGTTTTAAAAGTGTTCCGGAAGGTCTGACACTTATATATATATCTTAAATTAAAGATAATATAATATACTTTAACATGAAAAAAAAAAATTTCGGACTTTATTTTGTCTTCACGATGAAAATGGCTACCAAATGCTATTATTGTGTGAAAATTCTCAATTTTATTTTTTACATTTTTAACTTTATAATGCTATAACTTATTGAAAAGTGTATTGATTAATATAATTTTTTTATGGGAAATACTATTTTTTAATAATCCCTTTTTCATTCGACATACTTTATCTTAATCAGGATATTAATAAGGAACTAGCAGTTTATGAAGCTTTTGGAATAATCCACCAATTTTTTAAAATTAAACACNAATGAAGATTTTGGAATAATCCACCAATTTTTTAAAATTAAACACTATCTAAAGATTTGCATCGAAGCGTTTTTTTTTATAGTGATTTTTAATCACTGTCAGATATCATTATACTTGATCCAACTATGCCACGTCACCACTGTGCTGCGACCCCCCTGTGCTGGGTTTTTAATAGGGGAGTGGTCTACTCTGGGCGACAACACTCTAAGACGGTTACACCAACCGGTTCTGCCGTTCATATGTTTAAATGGCATTCATTACACTACCAGAATTTCGATATATTTATCATTAAACTGTTGTAATACAATAGTACAACTAGTTTTTTGTACAAATAGGTATAATACGTGCCCTCCATTAGCTTAATTATACAGAGTGTTCAGTAAGTCAGGAAACGGGTTTCTATTGTTCTCATTGTTACAAACAATGAATTTGTTACAAACTGAACACCCTGTATAATAAGAAATACGATAAGTTGGTACATCTTATGTTATGAACCGATAACACTTATCAATTTACGATCCGTTAAAGATGACGTTTTTTAAAAATAAGTAAGCTTTTTTGTATACATGAACAGTCTAAAAAAAACTTAATATTTTAATTTTTTAAATTCAACAAAATTATAATTGAAAAATTTTTTCGATTTTTTATATCTTCGTAACTTTACTGTATATGTTTTGATTCAAAAAACAATAGTTGGCACAATTTATAGAAGAAGAAATGCAGATAGTATCAAAGTTTTGTTTAATAATCATAGAGCGTAGGATATTATTCATTTGTGAAAAGAAAAAAATATAATATGTATTATGTTTTTAACGATAATGCATGAGTCATAGCTAAATACCATTTGGTATAGTAAATGTTGTTTAAAATTTGTGTTAATTTACAAAATAATTAGTTTCAATTTAACATGTTATCAAATTTAAGGTACCAAAATATTTATTTAAAAACATTATATAGGTCTTAAAAAATATATTAAGCAGCCTAGAATGGTGTTTTATAAAGTTTTGGTTAGATTAGCTTATATACTCACATTTTCTTTAGTGATAATTTATTTCTTATTTTGATATGCGACAATTGAAGCGTAAATGTTCACCGAAAATTATCCAACGAACAATAAATAATAAGTCGACCGTGAAATTTAAAGAATAAAAATTTAAAATGTTACCACCAATTTGCTTCATAATAATAATGGAAAAGCTTTTTTACGCTAATCTTGGTATTATCAAAATTTCAAGAGCAAAATTATTAATTTTCCATTGATAATAATTTTACTAAATCTAAATTTAAATAAAGAATCTAAGAAATAATTTAGAATTTTTTCTAAAAACTAAGGTAAAATGTATTTAGATAATGAATTCCCTGGTATTTTTAAGTATAAAATATTTATTAATAAGTTAAAGCTTTTATGGATTTTTTTTTGGGTGATGTCTTCGATTAGATACAATTTGTGATATTTCGACGTATTCTTCATCAAAATCGGTCCAGCAAAAGCTGAGAACGAGTGGTAATAGATAAAAAAAAAATAAATAAATAAAAAAAAAATACATCATAGCTAAGAATAGTAAAATTAATATCTTCTCAGTTTCGCATCGAAGCTTTAAGTGTAAAAATATAATAGTTATTAAAAAAAAAAAAAATTAACAAAATGATTATTGTATTAAATGTTATAAGAGTTGTCAGTTATGAATGGTTCACTCTATATATTATAATTTTTTATTAAATTTGTTACATTAATAGTATAATTTTGTGATATTAACTTTTATACTCTTTAAGTTATTTCGTTAGTATACAAGTTACATTTGTTATCTCACTCTTCCGTTTAGTGCAGGCAAACTCTCCTTGTTTGGGGTTCTCGTATATTAATCTAGACAATATATATATATATATATATCTATGTACATCCTATACTCAAACAAGCATTTTATAGATGTTGGGATGAGCGGCAAATTTATCTATGTTCTTCACCCAATAAATTTTATTCGTCAATGACGTTTTTCACGTTTGTCATCGATAACAGCCATAAAATAACTATTCATATAAGATCTAACTTAGAAATAATATAAATTATTGCCAATTAATAAGACATACTTAGAACTTCGATGAATACATCATTTATATTTAGATATTTGATAATTGGTTTTTTATGACATCAATATTCGCAGGTACACAGCATTGTAATTATCAATGGTAGTAAGGCACATTGTTGTGAGTTTTTAAATACACTAACTGATAATATAAAAAGTTTATCTATTGATAGTCATAATTGATGATAAACAATCCGTGACTATGACAAGCAATATCATAAAAAATCAATTAGCTACTTGTATACTTTGTGTACTATATATGTATATTAACTTAAAAATTTGAAACTTTAAATGATTATATCTAATAAACCAATTAAGTTATATTAAAAATTCAAATGACATCTACTATTACATTAAAAACTCAAACATTTCATTAAATTCAAAATATGTGTTCCCATTGAAATAAACAAAGTTAAAACTCTTTTAAGGCATAAGATATGAACTTAAAAAGTATTACATGGTTAATAATTCAAGAATAAATTATAACTAATGATAACCAAAATAAAAAAACACATCATAGTAAAATTAAAAATGTTTAAAATATATTTATTATGTGAGTGATTGAGTGAGTTATGATAAAAAAAAATCACGCTGTACAATGTATTGTATAAATACCCAAATTCAGTGGATTTGTGTTTTGGTAGCGATTTTGGTTTGTTTATTCTTTAAATGTTCTGGTTTTAAAACCGTGTTTTTTAGTTCGGTTCTAGTCTCTGTTAACACAAATAATAAAAGATATGTATTTAACGTGGTCCAAAATTGTAGAAATTATCAAAAAAAAGTATTGCAAAATATTTGCTAGATAAAATTTAATAAAGATGTCAAGATTTAGTTGGACACCTGTATATTTATAATTGTAATTTTAATGGTTTGTAAAAGTAATTTTTTTAGATTAATGATTATTTGTGAGCGAAGGGATGAAAATTATATTTAAGGTTCCATTACATTAAACTGTACTAGGTGCACCCTCAAACCCGTAAATTGCGCATGTGTAAAAAAAAGTAAAAATAATGGAGTTTTACCAAAACATCTTTTAAGATTTCTGTATAATAAATACATATTACATTATATAATCGAACAAAAAATGTAATAATAGAATAAAAAAAAAAATTATGTATTTATTAAAATTAATTGTATATTTGAAATTTTCATCTAAAACTAAAAAATATCTAACTCAAAAAGGCACAAAAAATAACGTATACGTGATATTTTAGTATGTTTTGCAGCTTTTTGTGTTTAACAATTATAATTTCAATTTTTATTAGTCACAGTTGTAGCTAATAAAAGTGTAACTGCATCCTGTGTAAATGTATTTTTATATATTTATTTGATTTTCGGTGAAAAATTGTTGAGAAACAGCATTTTCTTCGTTAAAAATGATTGTACGTGTCACAGTAAAAATAAATGATTACGTTATTTTTTACTTTTACCGTTCAACACTAGTAGATTATTTACGGAGTGTTATTTTTTCATAGGACATATCATTTTTACGGAGACTCGAGTCTATAACAACAAGTTTGTTATTATAACTTATAGTTTCATAAGTATGATTTTCAATGTTTTATGACACGAACTCGAAAGTATAACAGAATATTTTCCTCTAAACTCCATTACATTAATATTTGTCTGGGCTGTAGTGCAGTCATATTAGGCGAACGGACATAAAATGCGGTACAGCTTGTGGTGAAATGGCGATAAAGTTTGGGTATTATTTTCAGGGTTTTAGAGATTTTGTTTTAGCAGGAAGACGGTAGTGGGCCAACTCGACAGTGATGATGCTATCGAAATGAATTATTGCCAGACGGCGAAAAACACCAATGTCACAGTGGCCGTGCCCGGAAGTTTACACTGTGGCTAAAAGCTTCAATTCGGTGCAGCTTAAGGACGTCCGGGTAGTTTATTACTGTGCCACATATTTTATGTCTGCTCGTAACTGTAGTGTGTGTGCACCGTTTTGTCAGAGGTCGTCGAGTACCGTTGTACTTGACGTCTAAAACCGTTTCGAACGGTTTGATAGATACAAAAAAGCTCGGACGGGGGCACGTTTTATCCCGATGGCACAGGACTCCATGGACAGGTGCACGTTGCTCTTGCCGCTGCGAAATCGGTAGGTCGCGCGTGCTTGTCTGGATATGTGTGCCGAAACGCCGCCAGATTGTCTACCGGTCTGCCGCAACGGACCACCGCGGAGGTCGTCACCACGGGCGACAGTTAAGCACAAAGTTTCGGCCGCGTACAAGGTGTGCGCTCGAAGGAGAGAGTGCTAAGATCACGTTGTCGATCTGTACTGCGCGTTGTTGTGGCGCTTTTGTTGTCCCGTCCCGGATTAATCTGATGCGCTAAACCGGAAGCAGCAGTCGTCCAACATTGTTTTCTATTATATTTTCCTTGTCGAGTTGATCCGTCCTCGTCGAGTAATGAGGTGCTAATGACCTAATGTCACGACAATCGTCCAGAACGTCTTAAACTCCGTCCGACTAAATGGACGTCTACGTTATTTTACAGGTAAAAGTTCAATTTTCAGCTATTCATTTGATCAGTTTTTTTAATCGCCGAGTTTCACGGTTGACGCGCAACAGTGTTAAAAATATTCGCAAACATTCGAAACACAATGTTGTCGCCATATTATTTTTGTAATTCACAAAACACATTATATCTTTGAAAACATGAAAAGGTTTTTTTATTTAGGTATTACAAGTTCGTTAGAAAACTCCAAAATTATTTTTTAAAATAACATTGAATAACCGAAAGAATTTAAATCGTATTTACTCGCGTTATTAGAAAACATTTGTAACGAGTTCAAATTACTAGAGCTGTCAATGTTACTGTGTATAATTTTAATAACTCTCTCGGTGATTACTTCGATTCATTTCCATCTCTCCACTTATTTAAAAGAGAACACATTAATTTTGCTAAAATCATCATGCTAATAGCTGTTGTTTATACCCAAACCACTAAATGTAAATTTAATTATGTTTTCAGTCGAAAAGCCTGGAATAGTGTAATATGCAAATATATTCGTGGTGTTGGCGATTTAAACTTGCCGTTTAAAAATTATGTTATCATGTACTGAACGGCAAATATTTATACATATTTTATATTGACATTCCATTTATACTTACTTCTTGATTATCAGATATTTCAAAGAGTTTGAATTTTTTATTTTTTACTCGTCGCATTTTTTTCCCTTTAGTTTTGCATATGTAATATACGTTCCCTGTTATGCACCACTCGTGTTTAAAAAGTATAGATGTTTATTCTTAGCGTTTACAGTTTTCAAGATCATTTTCGGAAACATATTTAACAATATTAATTGTACTTGATAAATACATGATTGTTAATACAAATCTTATGTAATTGGGAGAGCGCCAAACTTTAAATTATGACGTTTTTTCCTGTATGTACTTAAAAGAAGAAGTTTGGAAGCTCAAGTTTATGTTTATATTTAGCTAAATTGAACTCCACTTTTTGCACAAACTCTATAAAGAACAAAATACATGAAATATTGTGAGTAAATTACACTAACTGCTACACGATTCTTCAACGTTTTTTGATATTTTTTAACGTTCTTTGATTAAGACATTTTAATGTTTTTCGTAAAAATTCTACTCAAAAGATTAAGTGCAAGCTGTTTGAAAAATAATATTGAGAATGCTCACAGGTTGTAATTTAAAATAAACAAAGTCAAGTACGCCATAAAAGTAATAAATAAATATATTAATTAATTAATTAAATAAAATATGAATAAATATATTTATAATACTGTACAAGAATAATATTCAGCCGTGCGAACATTCAGTAATAACAATATGTCTATTACAACATTGGCGGCTCTTAGGGGGAGACAATGCCCTCCCTTATAGTACGTATTGTAATAAAATTATCCAAGAAAACTTTTATAAATCATATTTAAAATATTGTGATCGATGTTGATTATCGACTAATTATTAACAAAATTATCAAAACGAATAACTTGATGAGAACATGTAGTCGAAACTAAGTCAAATATAACTCATAGAACAATTTGCTATCATTCATGAATTTATAAAAAACATTACATTATGTTATCGTTGAGATGTTGTTAATGTTTTCGAATTTTTGAATTGTATTCTTTTTTGTTTCATTAATTTCGGAACTATTTTCTTTTCTTTGACTAATTTAATAACAAAATATATTCAATTAAATATATGCCAATTCTTTTGAAACAGAACAGACTGTATAATAACAGTGACGTTCGGGGAAGAGCTAAAGAAAATTGTTCATAGTTTTATTATGCCTTTTTCTTTTTTGCTCGGGAAGAAAATTTGGCTCTCCAGATAAAAAACTAAAATTTCTATATATTAAAAGTCACGTATTTACAAATCTAATAATGCACATAATTGGTGTTCGATTTGCGTCATAAGAGCAAATTCAATTGATAGCAAGTTTTAAAGTGTAAACTAATGAGCGCATATTATAAGAGCGTAATTCAATAACTAAATGATGTAGTCCTAAAAAAGTTCATAGGTACACGCCTAAATAAGAGATTTTTCCATGTTTTCTATGCTCCTTGAAATTTTCAAGAAACGTAGAAGATAATAAATATATTTTTTTTTCTATAAAAAATACTTGATTGATAAAAGATAAATAAAACGTTATCTATGTTTATAGTTGAATCGCTGGGTAAAAAAAAATAATAATATTCCAAATAACTAAAAATGAATTGGAATTCCATATTGTAGATAATAATTTGACCGTTGATTATCATGTTAGATTTAGGAAATATACGTTTCGGTATTAATAACTATATTTTTTTATGTAACAAAATTAAATTTAATTCAGAAAAATCCTCTACTGGTTGCGCCATTCCCAACATCACAAATGCGCTAAATTTATATAAATAAGAACCCTATAAGAACTACAAAAGCTAATTTCAACTATGAATTCAAAGTAAAAAAACATAGCTTTTGAATTTTTCATTTTTCAAAACATTATTACTGACTTTTAGATGTTATTGTTTTAAAAATTATTTTGTAATTCAATTTTTTAAGTACATAATATTATTTTAAACGAAAAAACATAATTATATAATTTTCTTGGAAATAGTACTGTTTATTTTTAATTACAGATATTTATAAAAAATAATTTAATAAAATAAAATGATTTTATAAAAGTTGAGAAAAATTGTTTCTTATAACGAGGGTTTTGAATTATTTGAATTTATAAATGTTGTTTAGGCCACTTTGAAGGGTCCCAAATTTGTGCAACTTTGTCGTAGGCTTATATAGTAACGTTGAAATATTTTTCATTTTAGGGGAATTAACCTCCTAATCTCCTCTACCAAAAAAACTATATCACTGAAAGAAACCCATTACTAACTTTTCAAGTCATTTATTAAAAATTAGTATTGCCTGATGATGCGTGCGGGTTAACTTAACAAAATTTATAAATACACATAATAGACTTGCTTTTAAAAAATAACTATTAAATTTATTTACACTATTAAGCGCTACTTAATGCCGCGATTAATTCGTTTGTGACAAAATGAATTTCCATGCAATTTTTTTATCGCATTTAAATAAAAAAAACTATAATAAAATAACTCTGAGGTAATAATAATTTAAAATACATACTAATAAAGTTTAAACGTTGTAAGCGAGTGCCGTACAGCTTGTAATTGTAAAATATCTTCGCATAATTCCTAACGAACCAAACTCGTTTTTTGAACTGTACAAAAACAATAATATAGATTTTTGAAGTTTTTTTTCATAAGTAAACTTTTGAGAGCCCGTGACAACACGTGTAAACATTTTTTGATATGTACTATGTATTCATAAAATTATTCCGTTGGGTAACTTATAATTCACAATTATTTCTACATTGCTGTTCACACTTAAGGGCACAAGCAATTTCTTCTTGCGCTCATAAATATAGCAGTCGTTAAGTATATATATTATGTAATGATGAATTTATGATAGAACTTTTATATTTGAAATATAATAATTTGAAAACAAATGTATCATTTTGAATTAAATTAGCTATGAATTTAATTATTAGATTTAATCCAATTACAGATAGTTACTAGATTTATTTTGGATGTGTCATTTTAATAGAGATTAATCAAATAAATTACTATATTAGAACAAATGAACATTTTTTAACATTTTAAGATCATTTTCAATATAACAGGCATTAGCGTAGTTTGCACAGGGACTGCTTCAGTCCTCATAAAAATATTTGTATCCCCGTTTAATGAATAAAATTTTTTGGAAAGGGGAGAGAGATAAATGTGCTAGAGAAATTTCCCGACAGATCCTTGTTCAAAATTCACGAAATTGAATATAGTTCCCACGCAAATTTTTCAAGCTTTAATAATTGTAGAATCAATTTATTTATTTTTAATTACTTAAATTAATTAATATTTATTTTAATTTATCTAAAAGCAATCAATCTACGAGCTCCAATATTATGTTAAATAGTACTTTTATATTTATTTTTAATATTTCACTTAGCTTATAATAAAAAATAATTTAAGTAACAAATATAACATTTGTTTGAATAAATACGAAGTATTTTTTATTTTTTGAAAACAGAAATAAATGTTTTCATCCTTAGTGGGTCTACTAAATTAAAATTATGATTATATTCTGTATATTAATTAATTTTTTTAAGTATCATCAATTAAAAAGTGTTCTTTCAACGGGAGCAGATGTTTATATGGTTTTGTATGAACAGAAAAAAAAATTTTATATATCCTTTTTTTGCTTTAAATAAAAAACAATATTAATAGCATTGCCCATTTAGCTCGTACAGCCACATTGCAGCTTACACAATAATAAACATTACAGTCGACTGACTATTAATATTTTATCAACTGTTTTGTGTATGTAATCTCTTGTGTATCATTACAAGAATGTAGGTATTTTGCCTATTTATTAAGCCGTGTAAAATACAATGAGTTTAACAGTATTATTTTATTTTTCACATTATATAAAATACATATCCGTTGCTTATTAGCTATGGATTTGTAAATAAACACTTTACAGTGTTAATTGATCTAATGATTGATTTTCCATCTATCCAAATAACGTCAGTGTTAGCGGAAAAAAAATTTTACACAGAAATTATTGTGGCCGATTTAGTTTTCAACAATTGTTTTACACTTATTTAATGAAATAAATCTATTAGTTATAATATGCATTTGGCGTATTCATCATGTGCGAGCTATTTGATTTTTGTCGAGACATATTATGTACTACAAGACTATAAAGATTATTAATATTCTTGACATTTTTGTTGACCTAAAAAAAATTTTAAAGCGCCAACTATAACGTCGATATAAGACGATTTTATTTCTTATAGAAAAAAATATTAATATGGTATGTGGCTGTAGTATAAAGTAAAACTGTAACACTTGCAAACATAAGTTCGTATAGAACTACAAACTTTCACTGATAATTTATCATTCCATAAAATAATATATATCCAATTTTTTGTTCAATCCATATTATACACTTTTACCGGAA